TGCTTTAAAAATATAGATAATAGATAAGTATTACATAATGTTTTACATAACATTAATTAATTCATTACTAAGTTGTAATCAATTGTGAAATAATGGCATAAAAATGTAGGTTTTTATGAGCAAACATCAGTTCAAATGAATGATCAAAAAATATATTTAACTGAAAAACTAACAAAAGATTTGTTTTGTAATTAAAATGATCGTATCAAATATAAAATGAGACAATATTTTCCCTATAATTATGTGTTCAATAAGTATTTGCATTACTTTTTTGTCCCAAAAAATAATTATTCATTGAATAAAGCAAACAAAAAACTAATAAATCTGTTCACAAATGGTTTGATTGAATGGATTGCAAAATATATGGCATTTCCTAATCAATTATTGGAAGGACTGTACGACTGTATGGGTGGTGAGGGGGCCGGCAGTGAGTGTCCATACCTTCGGCGTGTGATATATAAGTCGTTTGCATTCGTGTCGATAGCCGAGGGAACCGATGGGTCGGTCGATGGAGGGGTCGATGCCGTCGAAGCGTTTGTAGAGCAGGTGTTTCCACAAGAGGTCATCGCAGCCAATACGAGACCACTGCCGACACACCAGACATACGTTCGCCATCTGATCAGACGATAAGTTCTTGAATATCTCCAGTAATAGCGGTTCCGGCAGTGATGACCACATGTTTGGCGGTACGGGTGTCGGGTTGTCCATTAGGTTCAGATATTATCAATCTATTAATTGGTGGTTAGTTTTGGGATTAATGTAGTGGTGATGGATGTGTGCACTCGTTGTCTGATCCAATGGTTTGGTGTAATGGATGTCAACACAAATAGCACTTCAAAGACATTTTGAGTATTGATTTGATTTGACGATTGATTTGCGAAAATACTTTGAGTTATGAATGAATACAACACTTGTATTGCTATTAATGGGAGAGAAATATATTAGTTATGAAAACTAAATGTTAGCCAAAAATTGAAGTCATTTTACGGACCATTACTCACGAAATAGTGGTTCAGAAATCGGAGTTTTATTTATATTTTTGTTTTCATTTGAAAAACTTCTCAATCATATGATTATCACTACATTTGCCACTCGTTTGCATTGTGTGTACAGTTAGGGCTCAGTTAGTGGTAGTCGTAGTGAATACAGGAGTCACTATTTGGGCAATTATTTTGCTTATCATTCATATAATCATGAATATACTGAATGTTAAGTTTATTATATGTAAATGTGTAAATGGTGTTAAATATAGCCATTGATACGAGTAATCTAACGGTAAATATAATGCGATTTGATTGTGAGGTAGCCTTGAATTGGTGAGAAATGCATTGAAAATAGTGACACTATTTGTAATAGCATTGAATGCTATGTTATTCAACGTGTGAACGAGATCTGGTGTTTGACATTCAAATCAATACGATATTTACGCAAAACTTTTTTTGGCAAAGCGTTTGGTTTTTCTAATTTCATATTCATTACAAACTTCAGTATTGTTCGTGAATTACAGACACAACTAGTTTCGGTGCAAAGAGTCGATTGCATTTCACTATCGTCTATAAATAAATATATTTATATCACACGTTAAAGTTGGCACTTATTTAATGCTGATGTTTAGTTTTTGAAACAAAGTTTATACCGCTTTTATGTAACATTGAAATTGCCTAGACACTATTAAAACCTATTTTATACGTGAGGCCAGTTTTATTGTAATTTTACGGGAAGTTATTTTGCATATTATTTGTTTTGTTTTAATACAATGCCTTAAAAGCAATGGTTTTAAAATTAATTGTTTAAAAGTTTGCTATTCATTCAAATTCATCCATGAATTGAATCAAAAGAAATTTATTTTCTCTAAAAAAGCATTAATTCTATTGAATATTGAATCGAAAATTGAGAATTAAATGGATTTTTATTTGTTTTTCAGAAATGAGGGCTCATTTTGGTCTCACTTTCCTATTAATTAAATTCTTAAGTAATGAATGCCTTAAATGAATGCATACTTTGAATGAATATAATTTCATTTATGTTTGTTTTTTTGTATCGACAATACTATATGTATGTCATTAACATTATTCTCTTAACAAGTGGTGATTGAATGCAGACTTTTGCTAATCATTCATAAAAATTTTTGCTTATCATATGGTTATCTAAAGTTTAGATAATTCACAGATAAACATTGTTTATAGTGTACAAAATATTTGTATAATTCAAATAGGAATTCTTATTATGACACAATTATATATAATTTAATTTAACGAGATTTTACTGTATCCAGAATATATATATAAACAACAGTTATATGACTTATTTGCGAAAATATTTTGTTTATTTTCCCGTTTGGATGCAAATTATATTTAATTAATAAATATATGAGAAAATGTTTTATTTTATTGTTAATTACGATAAGAATTCAATGATTTCTCAATAAATTATATGTCAATTGACGGTTGAAATTGATTTAATTATCTGTTATTTATTTAATATTTGG